AATGTGCATTTGTAATAGCTGGATATAGCTGGATTATCACCATTGTTCACAACACTTATGTGGCCTCTTCTGGGGCATTTTAATTTGCAGGAAANCCCCCCCATCTGAGACATGATCGATTTAATTTCCGGATTTTCATCGCTATTCTACTTTTTTCACACGGTATGCATAGGCAGACGTCTTTTTATTCTCTATATAGGTGAACAAACAAGCACGTTCTATGTGAACAGCTTTATCACTTGTATAAACGACGATGCTGATCGACGTGAATTAAACTGTGTGAAATATGCATCGAGCAAAGCAAAATTTTCTTACCGTGACTTTTCCCAGTCATTTCCTTTGGAGGAGGAATCGATAAGAATGGAGTCGTTCGCTGATTTGAAGGTCTTCGCTTGTCTCTTAGCTACCTGCTTTTTCAACTTGGAGAGGAGGATCTCGGTTGTTGTGGCCCTTGCTTTTCTTATAGCATCCAATGTCATCCGTGCATTGGCTAAAGTCGTGCCGCGTGTCTCAAAACCCTGAAAACCGACACGTTAGCGGGAGCGCTTCTCAATAATAACACGAATGTATGTAGTGTGTGAGAAAGAGGGACATAGGAGTTGGGGTCCTGTTCCGGAAACTATTAGGTTGATGCATATACTTTTTCCCGATTTCTTTTGTGAATGCCTCGTAGCAGCCAACCAACCTTAAGACCACCCACTACTCGACGCCGACGCTCAGGCAGCTTGTCGATTCCGCCCTCTCAGAAGGAGGTTGGTTGGGACTTGAAGAAGTTGTCGAGTGCCTTTCTGAGCTCGTCTTCTGTGTCGAACTTGACAAAATTGTCGGAGAGAAAAGTATATGCATCAACCCAATATGCAAAGCGTTGGGGACAGCGATATGATTGTTCAGCTAACACTCGAAGGAAAAGATCTAAAAGCTCGAAGCACTGCATTTTTTTCACTGAGTAGCAGCTGAACTGGAAGGAAAAGCGGTGAAAGTACTAAAACTGCTAATTATGCATGGCTACCGCATTATCATCGTCTAAAGGAGAAAGTGAGAGTTCATCCAGTGAACGACTTGACACATCGATCCTTCTCGATTCGAAGGCAGTCAGCGAAGGAAAAACTCTCATCTGAGCTCAAGTAGCTACATGTGATAGTTCCCAGAACCCAAATTCACAATGTTCGAGATTTCTCAAGAGGTGATTAGCTGCAGACATATAGAGAACAGGTGGATGTATTAGCGTTGAGGTTATCGAAAGAGAATATGGGGTCAAGCTGATCATCGTCAAGAAAGGCACTGGACTTACCCTCACAGGATCAAAGTCAAAAGTATCGTAATGGAAAATGATAGCTAGAGCCACTAAAATAATGGAGGTGACCGTCGTGAAAAGAATCGTTTTCCATGGATGATTAAGAACGATGCTGCAGTACCTGAACAACTTGATATTAGAATTATGGAATGTGCATTTGTAATAGCTGGATATAGCTGGATTATCGCCATTGTTCACAACACCTATGTGGCCTCTTCTGGGGCATTTTAATTTGCAGGAAACAGCGCTCAACGTTAATGTCGTAGCCCATTATTAGCAAAATAGAGTATTCAAACGCTTTTTCAGCCATAGAGTAGCCCATCATCAAGCTGGACCGAGCCTATCTTTTCATTGGACAAGCATGCCTTTCCTAAACTCTTAAGACTCCCCAGAGTAGGGCACCGTTCTATTGTAATTACTCCATCAAGCGTTTTTTTCCGGCCACCATGCTTCCTTCAAAGCTCATGAGAAGTTCCATTTTAGTCAGTGAGTCCCGTCCCAGAATTTATGTGAGACCTTTTTTTCGTTTGCCATTTAGTGCCTCCGTTTGTATTTTTCGCACTTTGAGATATTTTTTTTATGAAACCGTGGATTTATGATTTCATCCTCGCTCAACAGTGGAAGCATTTGTAAGGTACAGTGATCATAAATCCTTTTTTGTTTATTTATTTATTTCCACTTTCTTCTTCCTTCATAGCGTTTTGGGACATAGTTGGTTATTTATTCAAATTTGATTCACATCAACGCTAATCTCACTGCCGCTCATCTCACTTACAAACAGACGGTTAGCTCCTTTTTCTTTGCTAGCCTGGATCTAGATCTCTGGACTTTGAAACAAAGGAAGCGACAAATTTTGCAGGGAGCGCCTTTCGGTTGGAAGCAACTTAAGTCCGCAACAGACGGAAAACCCCCTCCCCCACCCCTATTTTAGGCGTGCTTGACACAGTTTGAATCTTACTTTTTTTTTTAGAAAATTCTCCGTGGTCTCTTTTCCAAGAATAGATTCATAATTAATTATGAAGAGTACCGCCCTTTCTCAGAAAGCTCCACTTGCCGAGGGTCTGATTTAAGACGATGAATAATAACCCATACGTTTTTGTGCATGTTTCGATCCCCATGAACGAGCTGGGCTTTGTTTTCTATGCTCCGTTCGTCTTTTTCTTAAGTCGCACCTTTTCCCAAACTTGACTCGGTCTATTCATGTCTAGTAAGGATCATGGAGTGGCAGTGATATAACTATGGATCCTCATTTGACTGATTCGACCAAATGGTCCGATATAATCACGAATTTGTTTAATAAGTCAAGTTTTCTTCAAATTCGATTCCTTCATTCAAGACTTCTGATTCCAATACCATGTGCAATATGTTTTACTCTCTGTTGTTTTGTGAATCCACTTCATTCAGTGATCCATTAGAGCAAAATGTAATAGATGAGCAGCCGAGTTCGCTGGCTTCTTCGTAGCCGCACACCAACTCTCAGTTACGCTTCGAGGGCCTCACTTTCCTGCTTACCATTAGGACTTTTCGCTTTACCAAGGGGCTTTTCGACGAAAACGGAGCTTTCATTACGTAACTCAAAAGGTCTATCCCGACCGGCAGATACATGGACTTTGATTGCAACTCGAGAAAGCGTCAGAGAGATATGGCAAAGCTTAGCATTATCAAGACATAATGGAACACACCTTCAACACATGGTTGGGTTCTATCCAGAGAACTACAACAACAACACTTTCACAGAATACCAATGATAAACATTCTGCTTCATTAGTTCAGTCAAATTTTTCCTCTGATACATATGTACTATTCTGGAGAATTCTAAAGAAACCTATAAAGTTCACCATTGGTTCAAGAATATCTGCGTAAGCAAGCTTCCAAAAGTTGCTCAATGCAGTGCTGAGAATTCTTGAGCGACTCGGCTTTTAACGAGGAACGAAGTGGTGCCTATATGAGTATTTGACCCGAACTGAGGCCATGCGATTTTCCACTCGACGCTAATATCCATCCAGGCAGGTATTGTATCACTTATGAAGAGCAGGAGGCAAGGATGGTCTGAGTAACATAGATCCGAAATTTTGTCGAATTCATCGCAGCGCCTTTTCGCCCTACTCCACTTCTTCCTTGAATGATGGTAGTCCCATCAAACTATGTACACAATATCAGTCAGCGGTCTATGGTCAGTTTTTTCGGAACTATTTACCCTTTACTGCCCCCTTGTCGAGAATGGGCTGGATTTCTATCAAACTTTTTCAAAGAAGATGAGACACGAATATTGCATCCATTTGTCATAAAGATGCCTAGCGCTTGCGCTACAGGCGCCTGCGCCAAATGGCTGGGTCACCGATCCTGCTGAAAACTTGCCCCTAACTAGTGTCCCAGGCGTTTTCGTGATGAGTGAATGCGATATTCGTGTTCTACGGGTCAAAATACCCCTCTAGGCAAGTTTCTAGCCGGTTTCACCTCCTTTGAAAAAATTCGATAGAAATCCAGCCCTTTCTCGACAGAGTGGGGCAGTAAAGGGTAAATAGTGCCGTTTTTTCTTTCGTCCTTTTTGTTCCTCAGAAAAAAAACACGTATCCTATTTTGCTGGATTGCTGCTGGTTATACACTGCACCATGCCATTGTGAAAGGCTAGCAGTCGAACACTCTCTTCAGAGCCTAAAGGGACAACTCAGGGTGGGTACGCCAGATGGAAGTACATTGATTACTGGGAAAGACGATAATGTTCAAACACATCCTTACGTTGATAACACTTCATGTCATGAAATGTCGCCTGCAGCCTGTCTTGTCTCTATGGGCTTCACTCGACTGATGAACTTGACTAGAAGACGTATTTTATCTGAGAACGGCACGAGGCTACCATTTCTATGGCTGATCCTCTTGGAGCATTTTGTCCGATAAGTATCCCCACGCATCCTTTCACCTTTTTGATATGTGCATTCATCTTGCATATTTATATACGATTATTTTCTTTATAAAGTTTCCAGAAAGGAGGCATCCCAGAAATTCAATCGATCAGCATCAAAGGGTTTCGAACATTTTTNTTTTTAAAATCTCTCTGTTTGCATTATATCCTGCTAAGATCGAATCACTGTATGAAGAGCGTTTTGAAGGCCTCAACGAGAAGAATAAAACTTGCATGACGATCTGAACAGCAACGAACATGACGACACCGCAAGCGTCTAAGCAGGTGCACGCGTCGGTAATCGTGCATTGCCTTTCCACAACATCGTCTTCTGCCCATTATTGCAAATCATCCTCAAACTGCCAAAGGCAAGGAATGAAGATCGCTATTTTGAAATGACGGCTCAATGACCCTGTAGCCTACTGCAACCGATCGTTAAGGACGTTCCTGCTCACCAACGCTACAATCTCAAGGCAGATTTTGAAAAAACTATGTTCTCTACAAAAAACATTCAATGAAGAGGAAAGCAAATTTAAGGAGTTATATAGCTTGTATGCCTAAGAGGACTAAACAATGGTGCGGCTGTTAGCGCATGTTGAATAACAGCAAGAGGTACAGTGCATGGTAGAGGTCTACCCATAGTATGAACCTGTGGCCCCCAAGGATAGTACATGGAACATTGTCGGGAAGTAAAAGTACATACCTCGACAAGACAGTATAAGGGCTCCAAAGTTCGCTTGGCCAATGTGCACACTCAAAAGTGGTTTATGACGACCTTGTTAAGGCTGCACTATTCACAATTAGGTTTTAGACGTTGACGGTAGTACGCTTATGTGGGAGTTACGAAAGCAGCTACAGACTCACAACATCGAACAACCCCCTTTCAATCACTTTTTGATACCTTATACTTTCTAAAATCCACCGATTTTCAAGCTTTCATCTCCACCTTTGCGCTAATCTGCACCATAACATAACTAACTCTGAGAATCGAGAAGCGGGAATGCATAAAATAGTGGCTTTTAGGAGAAAAAAAAATAATTCAAATGTAAAACGCTACACTTTCACATTCTTTTTGGGCTAGCTGCAAATTAATGTGCTATTTTCTTTTTCACTTTGATGTGAAATTTCTTACTCTGTTGAAGAAGAGAGTGATTTCATCATCACCGCAACAGATTTGTTTGAAGTACTAAAACGTTAATGATTCAAAGCTCTCAGACCTAAAATGAGGCTACGGAGAAGCCTCTTCTACCGTGGTTGAATAAAAGTAAAGTAGCATAATTTTAAGAGAATGGAAGTAGTACCAAATACTCGTACACCAGGGGAACGGAACATTCACCCAGAACTGGATGGACGCGGCAAACCGCGCGGCGAAATTCGTGGTGATTAAAACGACTCCGGCGCCTATCATTGGTGCACAAATTTGAAGTGGGATAGATGAGCAGCATCAGCTGGCCCTACTTATTCAATCTACTTGAAACCCGTGCCCCAATGAAAGATGCCAAAGCCGTTTTAATCGCCACGAATTTCGCCGCGCGGTTTGCCGCGTCCATCCAGTTCTGGGTGAATGTACCCATACCCGTTAACCAGTCAGAAAATCAAGAACCATTGTGAACAAATGCACCAAAGCCTGGATTACCTGTTGAAAATAGCCATCTGCATCATTGATAGACGTCCATGCTCTGACTGATCCTCCTTCGTACTCGTAGACAGCGTGTCTTCCTTTGATGAGGAAAATGGTGATCGTAAGCCACGAATGGTAAACACGGCATCCATTCACACGACCACCGACCACTATTGCCAACTATTGGCTGAATGATCGTGATGTGTTCGCAGATGCAGCTGAAAGGTTACGAGAGCTGAAGTTTGAAAAGCAAATATTCAAAGAGTGTCATCCTTGGATGAACCATAGATGTATCGATGCCTGTTTCATAAGTGTCAGTATAGATTGAAGTAAAAGAATTTTTCCACTCACAAAAAACATTCACACGTTATTGAGCCCACTGCATTGGTGAAAATGTAATTGGGAGGGCACCCATATCAGCCCTAGTACATCAAGGAATTCACACGGTGTTACGTGATATTCCGTGTTATACCGGACACATACAATTTTTTAAATTAGCCTTAGAAGGAGAGGAGCACCCGTTCTCTTTGTCGCATCCGGTACAGTGCTGGTATAACACGGTTTAACGCGTAGCCCCGTGTCACTTCTTTTGTTATACTAACACTGTTACGTGTACAAGTCACGAAGTCACGCGAATGTATTAAGCAGTAACCCGAAGACATACTCAAGGGCTGCTTCCATAGTCCACCGGCCTGCGCGCGTGCGTGCTCGCGGTCCGGCCGGCGGACTATGAAAGCAGCCAAGCGTCCACAAACGCCCATAACACATGCTACCCAACAAAAAGGTACCTTGAGCAAGGCTCACTTGTTCGATGGTGGGGCATTGGGAAGTTACTGTACAGACATTCAGGGGACTGTACTATGCGTACCCCAGCACCCACAACTACGTCCTCACCTCCTGCTCCATTTTAATGAGTAGTGTAGTGATCTCCATTTTAATTACAAGTGAAATAAAAAGTTACAATAAAGGGTCATCTAGTTATAAACAGTTATCCACATCTACGACGAAACCTTGTTAAGAATGTTTCGGAAACGTAAGTGTATCTGTGTTGAGGCCTGATCCTATGTCGAGGGTACGTGTAATGAATCAGCGAGAAAGTCTTAATTCCTGCTAGTCTTCACGTCCCGGATAGAAGAAGCGGTTGGGCATTGGAAGGGAGCGATTCCATCTACTTAGGAGGTGGAATAAAAAGAAGCATTGTCATAGCAACGAAACGTGGCCTAGAAAAGAAATAATAGTTAGAATTCGGAGCAGGCTCTAAATGCTTTTCTCTACAGCGCCGCCTACCAGTGGTGGATTGGCGTGCTGCTGAAAAAAGCGGCTGATTCATGGGCTAAATTGGGGTCAGACCTCTGCTCAGCTTTACTGCTTCAACGATGTTCTTTTCTACAAAGCGTTGAGGCACAAAACTAGCCCTATTGCCATGAAAATATAATGCTCAGCATGCGAAATTGCTTCAACTATTACACAATAGCACCGGCCTTTACCCCGCAACTAGATACCGCTCTGTTGGACTCATTATTTCTCTAATCTGGCCTGACAATGAATTCTAGACACAATGAATGATGTTATGGGATTCCCTGTTGCTCGGAATGTGTCCGATGATTTCAATAGGAAGAACTCAGAGTACGAATGATCTGCTGGGTACGTTGCTTACTGGAAAAACCCCTAGCCCATACAGCCCCGCTTGATTTTAGATGAGCCGTGTGAGCATTGGGTTGTGGTTATCCAAGTACTCATAAAGCTACACGTTGCTTTTGAGCTCTCCCAAGAGGGTCAGAACCTGGAAGCTTCGTATGGAAGTGCAAATCATATAGAAAACAAAAAGCTAACAAATCTCACATCAACAAATTGCGCAGATTTACGGAAACTCTCAAACTCTCAGTTATACGGACTTGTATTCCTTCGAAGACATTCACTTTTGAGTACCCAGTCTTCTGCAGAACTTTGACCCTGAAGTTCACTTCATTATTAGGAAAATGTCAAAATATTGACATTTTGATATTTCGAGGGGAGCGATCCGCTCTAATACGATGAGAAAAAAATGTATAAAAACAATCGCAAATTTTTATGCCCTTTTAACGTGATTCGTCATATGAAAGTGCCCGCACAAATAAAAACACAAAGGCTCGCCCCTGTTCTTTATGCTGGATCGAAAAACCCAATTTATGAACACAATAGAAAGCATACATTGATGTTCTGGTTGGCATCCACTGTTTGTAGTCGAGTCATAGCTTTTCCCTCACCCACCAATATAAGGTTCACTTCGTAGTGTTCAATGATATCAGCTGTTCAATTCGATTTACAGATGGTATAAAAAATAGGAATTGGACGAATTTAATGGAATCTATGCTTTCAACATAGGAATGATGAATGCAGTGGTTCCACGCGGACGAGTTCTCACAATTAAGCACCAATGTTTTTGCTAGCGAATGACAATGAATGAGTCACGTCCGACAAGCGTTACCCGCTGATATGTCAAAAAGAATTAGAGAATGAATTCTAAAACATTATGAACAGCGACCACGGAACTATTTGGTTCCATAATGTTCCTCAAAATGAGAACTGGAGCAGATTTGTTGACCAAAAGTCACATATCGCGTTATGACGAAATTTTAAGTAACAATTTTCCCACGTAAAGCATGAATTGTAGGCTCTGAGCACGCTCACCTTCTCTTGGACACCGAGCAGAAAAATGAGCAGTTTTTTGTTCAAATAAGAATGGCAGTATGCCGTTGCTCGGATACAAAGGTAATAGAGTAGTGAAGAAAAGCGAGGCTTTCCGTGTAGCTCGTTGTGTTGGGGGTCCACGAACAAACCTCTTGAGCTTTCTCTTTTGATGGAGAAATGTAAAACCACTTACAGCGGTCGCAAACGAGCCCCTTAGCACAGGGTAACATAAACAGGGAACATATCAATGAGTCAGACCGTCATAATCATAACATAAAGTTTTGCCTGAAATGATTGATTGGCATAGGCAAAAGAGTTAGGACGAAAACGAAGTGTGAAGGATCGAAATCCCAGAAAATTGGGTAGCCCGGTGGATTACCTGATCTTCTTGCGCTTCGGCGTTGCTCGGATACAGTTGCTTCGGCAATATTTTTTTTTCGACGAATTATGCTGATTGTGAGATTGGTAGAAATAGTGGTAATACCGTCCTAAACTTTCAGTAACAGTAAAACATCAGTCAAATGTGTTTGCACGTTCGTTGGCCTTTAGCAGAGAACGTCGAGAGCCTATGCATCTCGTAAAAGGTTTAATAGCGTCCCTGCTCGTTCACCATCAGTTCTCACAGAGCATTTCATAATTTTGCCATCGGAAAGCACGTCGGAGCAAACGCCATGGACAGAAAGAGAGGAAACCTGTAACTTCTGTAGCGGAAACTTTATGATGTGCTTTGACGTCATTCCGCTGAAATCCAGAAGACGAGTATCTTGGACAAGAAGTCGGGCAGAAGAGCAGCGGAACGGCAGGAAAGAGAGGTAGAAAGCAGAAGTAGTGGATAAAATGAAATAAAAGTGAAATGGTTGCCGCAGATTTTCGCCCACTTTTTTTCAAGTCTTAAAAGCGATCACGTCACGATTGTTTTTTGTAGATGTTCATTGCCGGTGAACTGCCGCGGAAGTGGTGGCTGCTTTTTTGCGCTTACGAAAGCAATGAAGCAATGATGGCAAAACTTGATTTTCATCTCATTGGCCGCTTAGAATCCGCTGCTTGTCTGGGCTGGAACGTTTAAACTGCCTTTTGTTGAGATCGTCGGAGCTTGTTTTTTCAGTTTCATTCTGTTTAAAAGGGCTTATGTTACTCACAATATCACTACCACCCTTGTTTGGTGTCTTAGCATTTCCTTCTGCTGCAACTTCCTTTCCCTTAGTGTGCGGTTGTACTTGTTTTTGTTACGCACGAAATCTCTCCACATTCGAAATCAATCGAAAAGTTCTGTTTTGCAGGAATGATCCGAGCTATTGCTTTCCTGTTCCTAATCCTACAACTGCTGACGCTCTCCAATGCACAATTTGGTTACGGCGGCTACGGACCCTACGGAGGTTACGGCTACGGACCCTACATGGGAGGCATGGGAGGCATGGGAGGAATGGGAATGGGCGGAGGTAAAGTTATTTAGCCTTAATTTGCTTTATAAACGAAAACAGCTTCGCAGCTACTATGTATTTGATTCGAGGAAGTGGTCGAAAAATGGCGAATTTATTTTTGCCGATCTTCCGATCTTCGTTAAAAGCTCCAGAATGGTTTCCACACTTGCGCGAGGTGCCTTTGGATAGGATTATGCATAGTCTTCTGGAACTGTTCTGTTTCACCCACCAAACTGAGGAGATAACAACAGAGTTCCTAAGTTCCAGAATGTTCTAGGTTCATTTTTTTCAGGCCCTGTAGCGGGTGCTATCGATGGAGCTTTAATTGGAGCGATTGATGGAGCCATAATTGGTTCACTTGCTTAGAAAATCAGAGCGATCGTAGGGGTTACAACTGAACTGCCTACCGAGTAACCCTTTCCTTTTACAAGAGAGAAAGATCTCATGCATTCTAGAATGAGGCACCTTGAGCCTCTGATGGTCCGTTAACGACGACTCTTATGTTTATCCCATGAGAATTTGCCCCCTGAGATGAGATGAATATTCCAGTTTGAAAGCGTACGTCATTGTATCAAAGTAATAATATGATGAGATGTACCGCCATGATTGGTCCCTTCTTTGTGATGCATACCAGTGTGTGATTCAATGTACATTAGGCTTTTACCTTACAATATCGTGCACGTACAAAATTGACTCTTGTATTACAACTATGCATTACCGTACTACGCTTATAACCATGCTGCCTTCTTGCTCTCTTATGGTATTCCCTTCATAGCTTCGTATTCAATAAATCTTCCAGACAACCTATGTGAGAGACACAGAGGCACTCATCGAATAATAGCTATGACCGATAGAAATTTCCTTTTTTCGATATTCTGTAGTTGTTTGTGATATTCTGTAGTTGTTTGTAATGGAGGTGGACCGGACCAATTGCCTTCATAGAAAAGCCACATAAGGAAAATATATCGAATTATTGCTGTGTTTTGAAGCGTTTTTTCCTATATGATGGCCCGCAACGATTCAGTCATATGACATCATCATCTAACGTGCTTATTCGATTTCCCAGCCTTCTTTTTTTTTGGTGAAAGGATTAGATTACAAGCAAGCTGCCCAGCTCCAATGAAGGATAAAGCACTGAAGTAAATCACCGACGACTATTAGCGAACTCGATTTATTTTACGTCCGTTAATAAATTCCTATATTAATACAAGTAAAAGTTTTAGCATAAGCCCCACTTCCAAACGATTAGCATCCAATTTCGATAAGAATTGTTTGACAGCATACCTATGCGGTCCATCAAGTAATGATTTGAAAGCAGCACAGTTGCACAGAGAGCAGCACCTACAGTTTCTGACTGTACTGCTAAATGGCAAAAGTCGTTCATTCTTCTGGTTAGCGCTTTAAATTTGCAGAAGAAAGTTCTTCCTAGACACTTCTATAATACTGAAAAACGCGTGGAATATGGGTCACTTTTTGATGGAAGGCATAACGATGGTAGGCCAGAATCGTTAAACATGATTTCTATTCATTGTGTTGCCTATAACTGCCGTCAAGTGTTGACAGATGACTATCATCTGTGAAGGAGCGGTGTGAATCTGTACCTACATGCAGGCTCACGAACTAACGGCAACTGAGGGGTACCCAAATAAGGAATGAAGTGACAAAAATAAGAGGTAATGAAAATCAAGGGCGTGCTGCAAGTGAAGGCATCGCGGCGTTGGTATTGGCTGACTCCTAATGCTTTCCACAATTCCGCCGAATATATTGCTAGTGACACTCTCATTAAACAAAACAATTCTGGTTCGTTTCCGACCATCCTATTGACCAAATGAAACGAATGTGCAGTAGTTTCTGAGATGCGTATCAAGAAGCTCTGGAAACAACAAAAAGATTATCAACAGTGAAAGCATAGAGAGAGAAAGACAAGAGGGCTTCACTGTACGTAGAATGCACTCAAAGATGAGCAGAAGAGCTAAAGAGAACAGAGAATATTCAGAGGAAACCGCATAGAATGACGTTTACGGACACCGTAGCTGAGATGAGGCCTTAGGTATCGTTCATCCCCACATGACAGTGCCTCAGCGTTTTTCCAATTATTAGGTCAATACGTGATCCTTCCATGCGTGGAGTGTGTATGTTTCTCTTTCACCACACTAGCTACCACTCGCCGAACCTGCATTTGGAGGTCCCTATGCCGCACAAGTTTCACGAGTCCGTCACAAAGGATGAGGTTAGAAGGGCACTTGACGAATTTTTCAAGCTCCAGCCTGGTCCTTCTGGGAGGATGGATTCGATAAACTGCCTGATCGTTGGCGTCGAGCAGTGGATGGTGGTAGTGTATAGCCCCATCTTCGGACTGGTTCGCTATTGAGACGTTTACAAAAAAGTCGGGGAAAAGAACTCATGCACAAACCTAATAGTTTTCCACTGGCTAAGCCACTAATTCACAGCCCTTCTTATTTGAAATGTAAAATGTGTAGCTGGAAGTTTATAGCCTCTGCGTCATTGATGTTATAAAGAGATAATGGATGATATGGGGGACTAGCTGCTCTTACTATTTGAGTTCAGTTTGAATAAATAGATTCAGGTTCAGAAAAAAATCACAATGGAACCCGGATACAGAAAAGAATCCGATCAAAAAACCCGTCATTCTTCCTGGCAATAAACATCTCTCAAAAACTATACGAACGCCTTATCAATAAGGAACTTCCAACAGATTAAGGCAGTGTCTTATCGCCAGCTCATTTCTATAACTCCGCTGTTTTAGCAGTAAATAGGCAGTTCTCATTCACGTCCAGATCGAGAGGGAGTGGAGATGAGGACCAAGCTAGCTACCCGACCGGTCATTAGTTTACTTGGAAATTTTATTTTTTCGGGTGGGCTTGAAGTACGCACGAATACGATAGGTACTCAGACTGTTCAATTATACACTTTTTCCGAAAAAAAACGTAAAAGGTCATCTTTATTCTTCACGCTGAGAAGCAATGTTTGATTTACTCTTCCTCTTACGGCTCTACTATTTGCACAGAGCTATTTTGCTTCGTTATTTTTGATGTTGCCAAATTCTCCTATTTATGGATATATAGGGATGTGGAAAAAGCGATGAATGTCCTTTGACTATTTAGCCATCTGAATATTTAATCAGATTGAAAAGGTCGACGGATTGGATCCCGGGCACCAATGTACTACATCTATTGCTCTCTCCTCACTCCCTTATAACATGTCTACTGGCTGTTTTCTTATGGTTTTTTGCGGTTTCCTCAAACCACAATACAAATTTTTTTCTTCCTAAGCTAGAGAACTTAAGCTCATTTTAAGCAACTGATTACTAACCTATACTCCTACCTTTCCCACCGTCGGTCATCTGATTTCTCAAGCAGCCTTGAGTGACCTCAAGAGCACCTCTCTACCACAAGCTGTGTAAATATAATGTACATTTGGAAAAATACATGGTTCCTCTCTTGAAAACAGTGTAGTTAGGCGTAAAATGGACGTTCAAAAAATGAGGACGAGATTTTCCCAAGCCTATCCCTTCTTTTCATTGTGCTCCGACTTCATCTGTCGCGGCATTCCCAGGCGAAATGTGATTCAGGGGATGAAATGCGATTCCGTGGACAAATACTTCAGTAAACCCATCTTGCCCTACTTTTTTTATCATTTCCTATTGATCGTTGTAGGTCCTGAGTTCACAACGCCGAGAGCGGCTCATCTACTGCCTCTTTCATTGTGTCAGGTATCCAACATCACTAAGAGCGGCTAAAATACGCATTACATCTGCATTGAAGAGCATCATATAAGTTTAGTCTAAACATGTCCCGAATGTGTTTAGAATCACCGGGTACTCAATCAGTTTTCATTGTTTTTTCAAGAGTTTTATACATCGACGCTAGATTCGTTCTCCCGAAAAGGATCTAAACACCGCTTGACAGCTCTTGATTAGGAGACTCGGAATTAGTCTCTAACCCATTTTTGCGTTACCTCTGCACTTCTTCAGTGGTTCGTAGTTTTGAAGAGAATTCCGTTGTGCTCTGGAGAACTCAACTGTTGGAATCGACAAAGCTGTTCCAAGTGTTTCTCCGTCATTCCCTGCTATATCTACATATGCATCTCTGTTTCTCCCTCATCTGTATAGTATGCACTATACAATAACGACAAATGTTTATCTTTTTGTCAGATCGTCTGTATGTCGATTTGTTTGTCGGCATCTGAAAATCAAAATGGAGCAGCTTAGCCAGATTGGAACAGGTGGGGAATGAGCCGAGCTGTATGAGATTACGTGACCCAATCTGGTCTCTGTTCACTAGGGGCGGGGTGTGCGCGGAAAGTGTAGTACACCACAAATCTACACTACTACTGTTCTACTTGGCCTGTAGTGTTCAAATTTTTGGAGGATAGAGGCGGCAAGATGGGAACATCGGCATGTGACAGGTGTAGACTGCGCATACTGGAGGTGGGGCTTGCGCAAAAACTGCTAATTTAGACCCGGGGTGTTCAAATTCGGTAGAGATGCAAGCGGCAATGTATGTACAAGAACCAACGGTAGGTTCTAGGTGTGGACTCCGCCCACTGGGAGCGGGGCTTGCGCAAGACTGTTATTGTGGACCTAGGGCCTAGGGATTTCGAATTTAGTAGACACGCAGGGGGCAGGGTGCGAGAACTGGTGCCGGGTGACAGGAGTGGAATCCGGAGAGAGGAGCACAGGGGAAGTAGGGAATCCGAAATCAACAATTTATCTGAAAGCCTTCTAGATTATGTAGCGTTAGTTCACAACTTGGCTCCCTTCACACGATTGGCGTAGGGATAAACTGTCCTGGTAGGGATATCCCGCTGTGGAGATGTTGGTCGGTATACCGATATGCCATACCAATCTACTGCGTACTTGACCGCTCAATCGCGGTTCTGCTCACTTCAGTCGTACAATGTTTCAACTCCGAGAACAGATGTGGTAGGGCTGTAGCCGTAAACGTAACCGATTGACGATAGCAAACGATTTGGACCAGTGTAGACTTGTGCAACTTGATGTAGGGCTGCTGCTAAGCACTTATTTTTTCAAGAAGAGGCAGGGATCAATGATGAGCTTCAGTGAGGCATTTCTTCAAGAAGAGGCAGGGATCAATGATGAGCTTCAGTGAGGCATTTCAAACCTAACATAATGAGATGCGGCGTTGTTCCGGCGATCCTACTGCCTTCACATATCCATTGGCCTGTCCACGTAGAGCTTCGTAGTTCGGATTGGCTTACATGTTTTCGTCCTTTTTGACTCATCAACGCAGAACTCTTATGACTTTGAAGATAAAGATTTGTGCAGAACCTCTGCGCTTCCATGGCTTACCATGAATTCTGCGTAAAATCTCACTGAATANGTG